GTGGATGGTTGTGGTGGTGAAGAGAAGTAGAAAAAAAAGGAGAAGATGTTAGAAGATGTTAGAAGACATTGGTTAATGTCTTCTCCAAGAAGATGCTAGGAAGACCTTTTTGAGTGAAATGTCTTCCAAAAAACAAACAATCTGCAGAGCTCATCATCTGCGCGCGTCTGCGCGGCGCAGACAAAAGACGCCAGAAGGTCTTCTGGCAGAAAAACAAACACCCCCTTAGTGTCTTAGAGCATCTACAATGGAAAGTGTAAAAACAGGTATATTTAATTTTACACGATCAATAGTGTTTTACATATCCATTTTTTTATATTCACTCCAACCATAACTTCTATATAATACACTTTTATTTTATTTTAATATTTTAAGTTATTTAATTGTGATAATATATATATTTTTAAAAATTCTGATGACACATATATTTTAAACTATGGTTATAGAGTATTAAGAAACAGGAAATAAAAAAATTAGTAAAAAAAAGTAAAAAAAACATACTACAACAGTTTAGTAAAAAATTTATTAATAAAAATAATTGAAAGAGTAATAATAATTTACTAATAGTTAGATATTTTAAATAAATTATATTGGATAAAAAGAATTAACAAAAAATAATCATGCATTATTTTAGTAATAAATTTTTTACAAGATGTGAATGGGATAGTGTATATATAGAAGTTGAGAATTGTATTTTGGACTATAGTGTATTATTTACACTATCCATTGGAGGGGTTAAAATGTATATATTGTAGTTTATAAATTGTATATTTAACAATATACTCCGTATACTTTTTACCTTCTACATTGGAGATGCTCTTAGAAATGCCAGAGAATTACTTACGGGTGCCGCAAGTTTTGTCAAAATAACTCTCAGGTCCTCCTATTTTCAAAAAGAAGTCCTTACATTTTATTGTAATGACTGGGAGGAGACATTTCTTTTAATACTTCATCTATAAGCGTTAATAAATCCATTTTTTTAATTTGGCCATTAATTTTTTTCCTGTTTTGCCATTAATCGCTTTTTTTAATAGAAATTTTTTTTATTTCATTTATTTTTATGTCATACAAACAATTTTCAATTTTTAAACGATTTTATTGAAGGAATTCTAAAAAACTACTTTAAAAAAGAGTAACAAAAAAAGAAAAACAAAAAAAAATAAAAAAAGGAGCGACACATGAGTTATTACCATAAAATATTAAAGAAAAAGTCTATTTATTAATGTTTATAAATGAAATATTGAATGAAATGTTTTTTTCCAGTCATTACAACAAAATGTAAGAACTTCCATTGTCTTTTTGAATATAAATGAGCTTGTAAGTTATTTTTACAAAATTCATTGTCACCTGTCAGTAATTTTTTTTGTAGAAATGCTGCTCCCCATTTGCATTTTGAATTTCGGGTGTTTGAACTTTGAACCCAAAAGCCAACTGCAAAGTGCAAAGGGAGAAAGACCAAAGTAGGACTAAAACATTGAAAATATACCAAAATAGGACTTTCATGTTTTTATTCCCAAAATAGGACTTACATTACCAAACATGGTCATATACATTACCAAAAAAGTATAATAATTTGCACATGTACACTGCCACATTATCACAATGCAAAGTCACATTACCACAATGCAAAGTCCTATTCCGGGGAAAAAAATATGAAAGTCCTATTTTGATACTTTTCTCTATGTTTTAATTCTATTTAGGATGATTTCTAAAGTGCAAAGGCCTTATTCCAAACATTTACTCCGTATTAGTTTTATGCATTGGCACTTGGCAGTTTCACAAGTCAAAGGAACCGAGGTGGTCAAACAGCTATTAAACGGCCGATCAGCCATTTAACAAACATTCATATTGTGAAGTTAACTTACACCGCTATTTCAAAGTTCAAACCTTTCGTCTTGACCCTTTTTCACAAGACGGTCAAGTGTAAACCCTCAGGATTGGAGTCCCGCAGAGAGGTTATCGCACCGGGAATTGCCCGAAACACAGAAAACTTATGGCCTTCACTGTATCCCCAAACTCAGTTCACTTCCCACAGCCCTCTCACTTTCATCCAAGAAATCCCTTTCGCAGATGCTCAATTCCGCCTCCAATTTTACCCCCTTCCTCTCTCAGGTAAATCGCATTCACCCCCAAAGACCAGACGAAATTTCAAGAATTTGGTTTGATGTTTCACCCCTTTTCTTGACTTGCACATTTCCATCGGAAAGATGCAAAATTTTGACATGTTTTGGTCTTTCCATGGGTGCGGGCTGTTGAAAATGGAGGTTGAGGCAACAAATTGTTGACTTTGAGTGCCCCATCTTTTGGAAATGGAATTTTGATTGAGAATAGTTTGTGTTATTTTCTTTTTTCTCCCCCAATTTGATAACATTTTGAGATTATTTGATGAATGTTGTTATTAGCTTCCCCAAGGGCTTAGCAAACAGACTGGTTGTTGTTTTTTCGGCATCCTCTGCAGCAGGAAGTTCAAACTCAAATAGTGATTTGAATCCTTATGAGGTAAACATAATGTAGAGCCAATCTTACTTTAGAAGCGGTAAACATAAGTTTATGATGAGTTTTACATTGTTTGCTTGGTTGTATTATTACGTTTCGTGATCTCTAGGTTTTAGGTGTAAGCCAACTTGCCGGATTTGAGAAGATAAAGACAGCATATGCTAGGAAACACAAAGATGCTGAACGGAGGGGCGATGAAGAAGCTGCTAAACAAGTAGGTCATAATTTAAAATATGGTACTTTTGTGAAACGTTTAATTTTGTTTAGAGTGTTTGAGGCTGCAATAATATTTGTTTTCAGCTGGAAATAGCATATGACAGGATCATGATGTCGCAACTCACACAAAGAAAGAAGGGTGTTACTTTTGGATCACTTAAGGTATTTTTTTTATTTATCTTGATGCCTATTAGTTCTCAAGTACTCGTAATAGTTCACCTTACATTCCCCAAACTCTTGTTTTTGTGGGAAATTACTTGGTTTGCTGTTGTTGGATGTTTTATTGGGGGGGGGGGGGGGGG